TGTTCATTCATATGCTCGCATATTTTCATATATTTATTTTGTGCCCAACGTTCATTATCTCATTCTTAATATTCCTGCATGAAATTATGAATCATGATTCAGATTGCAATTTTGCAAATTATAGTTTTCTCCTACATTATTAGGAGGTGGATCATTTAAATTATCTGTCTTGCTTATCATTCTACGTTTCTTTTAGGTATTATTGCAGATTAACTACATCCAAAAAAAAGGTGTTTTTTTTTAATTATATGTTTTTTGGGGTGTAGATTACGAATCTGAAATCCATTTTTTTATTTATCCCATTCTGAGTATTGCTGCATGATTGCATTCATTTGTTGCAGTCACACTTTATATGCCTACCTCGAAAGTCAAGACTTCTCAATTCTCATAATGAGCTATAAGGAATTTCGTATAACCGTATTGAGGTATGAGGAGTTTCGTAATGAGATATTCATCATCTATGAATGAGGCCCTCACTCCTCATTCATAAATGATGCGCCAAGTTGGAGTAAAGCTGACTTGCGTCCTAATAGAGTTGTGGTAAATACAAAATAGCAATGGATGAATAATGATGGCTTTGATTTTTGAGTCATGAGTTTTGATGAGTACATTATACTTATAGTTTTGTCATAAATGATGGTCGAGATAGATCATTTTAATCATTTTTCACCCTTATAATTTTATGTTTCTTTTATTTATGAATGTTGCTTCTATAGTTCTTCATTCTGGAAATCTTGCAATTCTTGTCTGCTGTCCTTGTGGCTGTGAGCCTGTGGCCTGTGACCTATCTGCATTAGGAAATATAAAAGACCAATGAAATAATGTCATTCTTTGAAAATAAGATGAAGATTTTTTGGCAACACTATGTCAAAATAGTTTACTTGAAGCATTATCAGCTCAGCTTATCCTATGTTACTGTTATGCTGTTATTTAATAAGCAAATATGTAAGCTTTTCTGCTTGCATTATTTAACAGGCTTCTGTATAGTAAGTGGTCATTGTTGAGCGTTGACCATAGTGGAATTCTAGGATTGTAGGTCCTTATGGTTTTGGCAAAGGGGGGCTTAGGGGGCCCAGTCCAGACTCAGTTCAACTGTCCAAGCTCCCTTGTCCTAGTGATACTGGCATCCAGTGACCAGTGTTTCTAATACCTAAGGTCCTAAGCAAATACAATTCAATTACAATTCACAAAGTAAATTTAAAAACCAAATAATTGAGCAGTACAAATTTTCTAAACTTATGTAGGTTAGAAATCATGGCTCTAATGTCATGTATTTTTGTTTGATTGAAAAAAATTGCGGTTTACACTTTGCAAACATGTTGTATCATAAAATTTCCAACTTCCACAATCTGCAGTAGGGTAAACGCTAATGCGGTATATTCCGTCACATTAAGGATGCATCAAGAAATTAAAAACTATAAAAAAATAACCGTATGCATTACTCGAGTTCCTGTTTTCTTTATTTGACTCACAAAACACCGTACTACGCGCCAGCAACAACGAAACGTCACAAAATGTTGCCATATTTATTTAAAAGCCTTTAGAATGAAAACCTACCAAATCCCTATATTCCGTCACTGTGTGTGGCAATATTCAGCACGTGGTGAGGCGTATTACGTCCGCGCTTCAAATTCTACTGATACGTAATGCCGTCATCCACGTGTTCGAAACTTCGAATTCCGTTTGCAGTGTGAGCTGTATTGGAATACAACACGGCTTTGAATTAGAACACTAATGAATANACGGTAGATATTATTAATGCTAAATCTTACTTGATATGAGATTCCTGACCTGAATAATTTAATTCTCTTAATTCATTTCTCACTTGCCATTCATTGTTCATACAAATCACTTGATGTATTTCTTCTATGGCAAATTTTAACTATATTTGAACTCAAGCTGTGTGTATCAAAGATTGATGCAATAAGGAAATGATGTATTTGCTTAGTTATATTGCAACAGACAAATTGTTTGCAAATGTTGAAATTAAAGTCCTTTGTTTGATCGGCTATGTATAACATTTCTCCCACATTATTAACATTGCTTCATCATATTATAGATTAAACCATTAACGTCAGGGATTCATAACTAGCATCACATTTAGTAATGGCGCCCATTACCAAAGAATGCAGTGTTGTGATGCACCAACTTTCTGATGCTGCAGTCAGAAGGGCCCATCTGGGCATGTGTCCTGAGCTGAGCCTAGCCCCAGGGTCTCCTCATGCTGGAAAAGTCAAGTCAGAAGGAAAGGCAAAGTGAACACATCACTTGTTACTATGCACAGGAGTCACAGGTGTTCTGGTATTGTATCAGTTTTTTCTCATCTGTTATAATTTTGCAGGTTATTACATTACAGGATTAAGTGCCTTTTTTTGAACATGCTCGTAATAACTATAATTAGCCCCAATGTCTAAGGGCATAAACTTATTGTCTGTATACAAGACTTGTCATTTCAGTGAGTTTTTTACTGATGGTTGTCTTGGACGATTCTATTAGTCTGAATTAGTAAGTTATTATATTAGATATTCAGCACCCTCATCTTGATTCCAACAAAAAATTCATGGGAATTTTGGTTGTAGAATTAGGTCATTAGGTAATAGGTTTGCCGTTCAAAATGCAAACCTCCCAATTTTTTATCCATAGTTGTCTATAGCTGAATAAAAATAAAATGTGAAGGGCACCAGATGGGCTATCTTTGTTTGAGGGCTTCTCATATCAATGCTTTAGTAAGAATAGAACAAATAATTTTAAAGAGAAGCAATAAACTATTGTGGAAAAGTCATTCTCCACGCTAGTGTTGATTAATATAATACCATGTGAATATAATACCATTCTCCATGCTAGTGTTGATATAATATTTTATAATAATATAAAATGAAATTGGTGTCAACAGAATTGGTGAATGGCAATACTGAATAAATTAAAGCAAATAAAAGGTGTACAGTTTACTTGTAATTGTAACTTTTATTCGCAAATAAATTTTGATTAATGACTACACTCAAAAGCAGTATAATTATCATTTGGATACATGAAGCACTGAACAAGTTTGATTGAAGATCAGTGAACGAATTTTATTAATAATTTTTTGTGTTTTTTTTCAATAAGCATAACAATATCTTTTGTTGGCATTGGTAGATCAGAAATTGGGTTATGGAAAGACATTTTCATTATTTTAACATTTCAAATGTATCAAAATTCATTTATACAAGATACATTGAGTAATGCAAGTTGGATTAATATAAGAACAAAATCATGTAAATATAGCCATTGATTAAAGAATACATGAAAAATGCAAAAATTTGTGTTGCTACCACATTCATGGGCTTTTGAGAAATTTGAAAGATGTGAAGATCTTAGTATATTATATCCTTACTTCTCCTCCACTCTATTCTACGTGGTTCACTCCATATCATCAACATTGTCCTCCACATCCCCCAGGCTTGTTCAACTGCACATCTCAGCCCTGCACCTGCACTCTCCTCTTGTGTGCCGTGCAAGATGGAAGCTCAAGTTGAGGCTCACGACGCCCTCCCAAACTCCTCACAGAATAGTTCTGCACTGTTTGTGAATCAGGTACATAATCATAGCTGCCTTCAATCTACATTGTGCAACAAATTTGAGACAAAACTTGGATTTTCGTGAATTCTCCGATATAACTAGAGTATTATTTATATTTAAAGGTTTCATCAAGAAAAATTATATACTTTTAATTATTGCTTATACTTAGTGCAGATGAAGGCCTCTTCATACATGAAAATCTTGCATCTGGCATTTAATAACTTTGTTTCCTTGAAAGTAGATTAGTTGAATAGCTTACAACATATTTAGGTAGTTACATAAATTGAATCAAAATATATCTTTCACCTGTTCATGGTACTGGTCAAATCAATTAACAATTAATCCATTCCAGGTAGTTTGGGAAAATATATAGATCGCTTGAGCTAGTTACATTAAGGAAGGGTTGAGTAGGTAATCTACGCAACATGAAATGGGACCAATGGTAGATGGTTTCAAACAGTGGGTCTTGAATCTATACCCATCTTGAACCAAGATATTTGTAATTCTTAATTATCAGATTAATTCTGATGGAACAGGAACCATAACTTTCAGTTCTTACCAAAGCCATGTTTGCTTGGATCAGTTGATTTGCAATGCTGTAGTTTGTCAACTTGTGGGAAATTCCTCATTTCATTTAGCCATTAATATCATCAATGATGGAACAAATTAAGTGACATAATATTGAATAGACAAGTTGTGTGATTGTATTTTAGTGTTTGAACATTATTGAGACTTCCATAGTATTGAATGCAAACGAGCCTTGCTGTCAAAGTGTTACAATGTGTTAAAGATATTATATTTGTCCAGCTCTGAATCAGCTTCTAATTTGCAAAATTAATTTTTGCAACTCTACATGAGTATTTGGAAACTCCTCATTTGCAGAATGGTATTATCTGGGCTCCAATTTACTGACTTGATGGTTTACATTTATGGCCAGGTAATTTTGCTCACTTATTTGCTCTAACTCAGATTATTGCTAAGTAATCCTTGCATGCATCAGAACCAACCAGTGAAATTCATTTCCTGAATTTCTCCTGCATATTTATCTTTATTTTCAATTTCTGTTGAGGCAACTAACAGATTTTACTGAGCTAAAGTAGACAGTTGATAGGTTAACCTGACTGATATGAATATAGAAGATTGTTTAGCTTTGTATTTTTATCATTAGTGTGGTGCATCAGCAGCAGCCCTAGGAGACAGCACTTGCAGGGCTGTTGTCGCAGGTGCGTCCAGTTCCCAGGAACAAGTGCCTGCATTTGCAGACCAACAGCCGCAACAAATCCATCCAGAACCTAACAACTGCCTAAACTGTGAATATTCCAGTGGTTCAAAGCGCCTCCTCCAGCAACACCTTCATGATAAACATACTCTGAAGAAAATTGGTCAACCCTCACAGAGCAAATGTGCATCTATGCACAAATCAAACCACTATAAAAAACACCTTAAAAAATTAATTTTGGAGCAATTTTCAGAAAATCAATTTCATTGCTCTGATTGCAACTATTCTTGTGTGAAAAAACAACACTTAAAACGCCATTTTATTGCCAGGCATACATCAGAAAAACCATTTGAATGTGATGAATGTGACTATGCTTGTGTAATAAAACAGGACTTGAAACGCCATTTTATTGCCAAGCATACATCAGAAAAACCATTTGAATGTGATGAATGTGACTATGCTTGTGTAATAAAACAGGACTTGAAACGCCATTTTATTGCCAAGCATACATCAGAAAAACCATTTGAATGTGATGAATGTGACTATTCTTGTGTAATAAAACAGGACTTGAAACGCCATTTTATTGCCAAGCATACATCAGAAAAGCCGTTTAAATGTGATGAATGTGACTATGCTTGTGTAATAAAACAGGACTTGAAACGCCATTTTATTTTCAAACATACATCAGAAAAGCCGTTTAAATGTGCCGAATGTGACTATGCTTGTGTTGAAAAATATAAGTTGAAACGTCATTTTATTGCCAAACATACATCAGAAAAACTGTTTAAATGTGCCAAATGTAACTATGCTTGTGTTGATAAACGAAATTTGAAACGTCATTTTATTGCCAAACATACATCAGAAAAACTGTTTAAATGTGCCAAATGTAACTATGCTTGTGTTGATAAACAAAAATTGAAACGTCATTTTATTGCCAAACATACATTAGAAAAACCATTTAAATGTGCTGAATGTGACTATGCTTGTGTTGAAAAACAAAAGTTGAAACGTCATTTTATCGCCAAACATACATCAGAAAAATCATATCAGTGCACTGAATGTGATTATGCCTGTGTCCAAAATTGTAATTTGAAGCGTCATTTTAGCAGCATGCATACAACCTGAAAACCATTTCAGTGGACTGAATGTGTCATAAAAATTGAATCATGACAATTTTTGTGCCTATCATACATAAAAATGTTGAAAAGAGATGAAGTTGACTAGGCTCTACATCATTTTACAAGACTATAAGCATAATTTTCTTTTCAAGCAGACATCAGAAAAAATGTTTTTGCGATAATGCAATTATGCATGTATCACTAAAAAAAGGCACAAATATCACTTCTTTATCAAGCATTAGTAAGAAGAAACGATGAGGGGATTAGCCCACCTAACCTTGAAGTGCAGATATCTCAGATGCCAGCTAACTAATTCTATTTCATGGAAAGATTTAGGATCTAGACCAAACTGATCCAACATCAATTTAGACAAAACTTGTAAGTTACTTGGGTAATAAAATGCACAAATGTTTTTTTGACGTTTGGGCATTCTTGTGTTGTGACCGCCACAACATGATAGACACAAACTTGCTAATTTATTTTGATATCATGTCAGTATGGAATTACTAAATGCTTCTTCACTCTGGGTCCTGACTTCAAATTATGACTTAGATATAAATATCTATCTAACTTTGAATATTAGCAATTTATGATGTTACCTTACTGTCAACTGTTGATCCTGTGGAAAGCCTACTTATGAAACTAAAAATACAAATGCTTTGGTTTAAAAACGCAAGTTGAAAAAAATCCCGCCTCACTATGAACTTTGCTTCTTGTATTCATGACCAATTTTTGTTGTTGGTGCTGCTTCAGTCTCATGTCTTCCACTGAGCCTAATCATCTTGAGGGTTGAGCTTTATGGGCAGTTACTGTGTAGGCAGATCAGTTTTTGGCTCAATTTGTTTGTTTGAACTAATGAATTTAAATTAACTTTAACAGATAATGACCAGCCATTATGTTCGTGATGACAATCTTCTACCTAATCAATGCAGCTGACTATTTATCCATGCTTAACTATAAATGTATTGAAGTGTTGATAAGCATCAAGATGTGTGTTGAGCAAACTGTTTGGTAAGCTCAGGGATGATTTCCAAGTTATAATTCTAATTCATAAAGAGCCTATAGGCTGATAGAAAGCCTATGACAAGACTAATGTGTGCCTAGAGTGTGCCGTTTGGTGGACCCATTTGCATTCATATTAATATTGTACTGTCATATTATTCATTCATATTAATATTGCACTTGGCATATTATTCATTCATATTAATATTGTACTTGTCATATTATTCATTCATAAAAATATTGTACTTGTCATATTATTCATTCATATTAATATTGTACATAGTGTCAAGTTAGCTTGTGTAAGGTGTGGAAGTGTTGGACATCATTAGGGTTCATTTAAAGTGATAGGCAAAACTATGTACATGTGGCATCACTACGTAATAAAGCTTGGATTATTAACTGAAGATTTAGTCTTTTACTACTTGACAACCTTCTTGTCTGAGTTGAAGCATCAAATTAGTGATGGGATGAGACTGGAGCCAAGAGCTGGTTGTGTGAACCCAGTATGGATATTGGGAATACTGCCACTGGAAATGTCATGGCAGGATGGCCCAGTGGTTACAGTTCAGAGTAACAAGATTGGCGCAGAGAGGCGCGGGTTCGATCCCAGCTCTGTGCGCCAGTTTCTGGTCAGAATCGGCGAGGAGGCCGGGCGGTTAAGCACAGCAGAATTGCAGCAGTGAGCTGCGAGTTCGAGACCGCAACAAGCTGTGAATGTTCTGCGATGTTAAGAATCGGCTACAGGCCTACTAAAAGCTGAAACGCTATTATTATTATTATTATTATGACGGATGTTCAGTGTTGTCTAAACCAACTCCGTTACCTAATGCAAGTTATAATTGATACAAATGAAAATCAAATACAAGAAATTACATCACTATAGCAATTCGCCATTGACATATTTCATCATTGTAGCTATTTATCATAAAAACAATAATTATCATAACAATGCGCCATAAAAATGCTTGTTATTATAGCAATTCATAAAAACCATTATTATAACAATGAACCATAAAAGCAATTATTATTAAAGAAATTCACCATAAAAACGATTGTTTTTATAGAAATTTAATAAAAATAATTATTATCATAACCATTCACCTTTAAAACAATTATTATTAAAGCAATTCACCATAAAACAAAAGTACCTGTAGCTTAGGTTAGGTAATGTTAAATTGGTGAAGGATGGAGTGATGAAATGTCCCAATGATGAATTGCTGAGTGGTGAAGTGTCTTGTATGATGAGATGGCGGGGAACCATAAATTGAAATTTCTATCTTATGAGCTGGATGTCCGACTAACTGCCGAACTTTGGAGTCTAAGATTTTTGAGTAACATTTTATTTATTTTGTTCTTATGCGTGTTGAGGACATCAGAGCTTGTGGCAAATTTCTGAATGAACTTGCCTCCTGCAGCGTGTAAGATGAGGGAGATTGAGATGTATTTGAAAGTGGATTACAGTGAACAAACAAGACCTCCATGTGGGATGTAGAACCTAAACTTTTCATTCAATGAGCTTCCCTCAACTAATAATTTAGACTAAGAGATGTATTTGAAAGTGGATTATAATGCACCGACAAGCCTGTTAACTTGACAGTCACGTTACCGTTAACTTGCCAGTCATGATACAGTTAACTTGCCAGTCACATTACAGTTAACTTGCCAGTCACGTTACAGTTAACTTGCTAGTCACGTTACAGTTAACTTGCCAGTCACGTTACAGTTAACTTGCTAGTCGCGTTACAGTTAACTTGCCAGTCACGTTACAGTTAACTTACCAGTCACGTTACAGTTAACTTGCTAGTCGTGGAAATATTAATTAATTAATTACAGTTAATTAATTACAGCTAGTCGTGGCAAAATAGAAGCGTGGAAAGGTAGAATTTGGTAGAACATATCTCGGTTAATCCGCCTTTCCTCTGTTGTAACTCTCTAAGGATGATACACTTGTACAAATAAAACTGCTGCTCCTTAACAATTGCCGCCTGAACTCGCATATGAAGAAAGTATTATTGAAAGCACAGATGAACTAAGCTCGATTAATGGTCTGGTAATGAATTCAAATCAACTTTAACAGATAATGACCAGCCATTATGTTGGTGATGACAATCTTCTACCTAACCAATGCAGCTGACTATTTATCCGTGCTTAACTATATATGTATTGAAGTGTTGATAAGCATCAAGATGTGTGTTGATCAAGCTGTTTGGTAAGCTCAGGGATGGTTTCCAAGTTATAATCCCAATTCATTAAGAGCCTATAGGCTGATAGAAAGCCTATGACTAGACTAATGTGTGCCTAGAGGTGCCTTTTGGTGGAACCATTTGCATTCATAATAATATTTTACTTGTAATATTATTCATTCATATTAATATTGTACTTGTCATATTATTCATTCATGTTAATATTGTACTTGTCATATTATTCATTCATGTTAATATTGTACTTGTCATATTATTAATGCATATTAATATTGCACTTGTCATATTATTCATTCATATCAATATTGTACATAGTGTCAGAGTTAGCTTGTGTGAGGTGTAGAAGTGTTGGACATCATTAGGGTTCATTTTAAAGTGATAGGCAAAACTATGTAAATGTGGTAGCACTACGTAATAAAGCTTGGATTATTAACTGAAGATTTAGTCTCTTACTACTTGACACCCTTCTTGTGTGAGTTGAAGCATCAAATTAGTGATGGGGATGAGACTGGAGCCAAGAGCTGGTCCTATAGTTTCAAAAGAAGTTAAGAGATCGTAAGTTCATCAGCCAATCATTGGCCTTTCAAGCCAAATCCACCAATCATTGAGAAGAAAATAGAGCGTAAGTACTTGCGTTCACTTAGCCAGTTTTGAAAGTATGGCCCCTGGTTGTGTAAACCCAGTATGGATATTGGGAATACTGCCACTGGAAATGTCATGGCAGGGTGGCCCAGTGGTTACAGTTCAGAGTAACAAGATTGGCGCAGAGAGGCGCGGGTTCGATCCCAGCTCTGTGCGCCAGTTTCTGGTCAGAATCGGCAAGGAGGCCGGGCGGTTAAGCACAGCAGAATTGTAGCAGTGAGTTGCGGGTTCGAGACCGCAAAAGCTGTGAATGTTCTGCAATGTTAAGAATCGGCGACAGGCCTACTAAAAGCTGAAACGCTATTATTATTATTATTATTATTATTACGGATGTTCAGTGTTGTCTAAACCAACTCCGTTACCTAATGCAAGGTATAATCTATACAAATGAAAATCAAATACAAGAAATTACATCACTATAGCAATTCGCCATTGACATATTTCATCATTGTAGCTTTTTATCATAAAAACAATAATTATCATAACAATGCGCCATAAAAATGCTTGTTATTATAGCAATTCATAAAAACCATTATTATAACAATGAACCATAAAAGCAATTATTATTAAAGAAATTCACCATAAAAACGATTGTTATTATAGAAATTTAATAAAAATAATTATTATCATAACCATTCACCTTTAAAACAATAATTATTAAAGCAATTCACCATAAAACATAAGTACCTGTAGCTTAGGTTAGGTAATGTTAAATTGGTGAAAGATGCAGTGATGAAATATCCCAATGATGAATTGCTGAGTGGTGAAGTGTCTTGTATAATGAGATGGCGGGGAACCATAAATTGAAATTTCTTTATTATGAACTGGATGTCCGACTAACTGCGAACTTTGGAGTCTAAGATTTTTGAGTAACATTTTATTTATTTTGTTCTTATGCGTGTTGAGGACATCAGAGCTTGTGGCAAATTTCTGAATGAACTTGCCTCCTGCAGTGTGTAAGATGAGGGAGATTGAGATGTATTTGAAAGTGGATTACAGTGAACAAACAAGACCTCTTCATGTGGGATGTAGAACCTAAACTTTTCATTTAATGAGCTTCCCTGAACTAATAACTTAGACTAAGAGATGTATTTGAAAGTGGATTACAATGCACCGACAAGCCTGTTAACTTGCCGGTTACGTTACCGGCAACTTATTAGTCTCGTTACAGCTAACTTGCCGGTCACGTTACAGTTAACTTGCCAGTCACGTTACAGCTAACTTGCCAGTGTAATGAAGTCTGTGCTTCATCGGGGTTCGTTTCATTCGGATACTTAAAACATTTAGAACACCAACAATTTAACACAATTTAATGGAACAAAGCAAGAAGCAAAATTTACATTACGAGTTAACACCATACATCTTACTATCTGGCACATTAGCTACTCAGTCTACCGATAAACAGGCGACATCTGCTAATTCCTTAATCAGGAAAATCTGCTGCACTTCTCCAATCTTCGAAGTAAGAAGACGGTTCACGTGGTGAACGTTAAGCACGAGCAGCTTCAAGGACAAGCTCTGAGTGTGTAAGATGAGGGAGATTGAGATGTATTTGAAAGTTGATTACAGTGAACAAACAAGACCTCTTCATGTGGGATGTAGAACCTAAACTTTTCATTTAATGAGCTTCCCTCAACTAATAACATAGACTAAGAGTTGTATTTGAAAGTGGATTATAATGCACCGACAATCCGGTTGGTTAACTTGACAGTCATGATACAGTTAACTTGCCAGTCACATTACTGTTAACTGGCCAGTCATGTTACCGTTAACTTGCCAGTTACGTTACCGTTAACTTATCAGTCACGTTATCGTTAGCTTGCCAGTCACGTTACCGTTAACTTGCCAGTCACGTTACCGTTAACTTGCCAGTCACATTACTGTTAACTGGCCAGCCATATTACCGTTAACTTGCCAGTTACGTTACCGTTAACTTATCAGTCACGTTACCGTTCGCTTGCCAGTAACATTACCGTTAACTGGCCAGTCACGTTACCGTTAACTGGCCAGTCACATTACCGTTAACTTGCCAGTCACGTTACAGTTAACTTGCCAGTCATGTTACAGTTAACTTGCCAGTCACGTTACAGTTAACTTGCCAGTCACGTTACAGTTAACTTGCCAGTCACGTTACTGATAACTGGCCAGTCACGTTACAGTTAACTTTCCAGTCACGTTACAGTTAACTTGCCAGTCACGTTACTGATAACTGGCCAGTCACGTTACAGTTAATTTGCCAGTCTCGTAACTGATAACTTGCGACTGGCAAGTAACAATACATAACTTGCTTTCAAGCAATTGATTCTAAAAAAATGTATATGTACCTTTAGCCATGC